GGGAGGCAGTGTTGTGGGACAGTATTAGTGGGGGCAGTGTTGGTTCGGTTCTGTTGCGAGGGATTCAGTATTAGCGGGAGAGTGGTGTGGGGGCAGTGTTAGGGAGACGGGCACATGGGGTTCACCCCCTCGTGACTTTGCTTGGTTGAGCTGAAGGTTAGAGTCTGTCTGTGATGAGCGTGGGAGACAGCCCGGTAGCTTTATAAATAGCAATTGATGGTTGAGCTTGAGAGATCAGCAGTAATCCTAGACAAAATATCGAACAGCAGGAAACACTAGATCAAAGGTGAAGAAAGGTTAAATCAAAGTGACTTGCTTCAGGCTGTGTGCACGTTTCACAGTGTTTGCTCACATGAACATATCATTGTGAGCGTGCGTGCGTATGAGTATACAATATAACAATGTCTGTCTCTAACCTGCGTGTCGTAGACCTGGGAGTGTGGACGCACAGTGTAGAGGAGCTTTACTGTGTCTCTAACCCTGACCTGGGAGTGTGGATGGACAGTGTAGAGGAGCTTTACTGTATCTCTAACCCTGACCTGGGAGTGTGGACGCACAGTGTAGAGGAGCTTTACTGTGTCTCTAACCCTGACCTGGGAGTGTGGACGCACAGTGTAGAGGAGCTTTACTGTGTCTCTAACCCTGACCTGGGAGTGTGGATGGACAGTGTAGAGGAGCTTTACTGTGTCTCTAACCCTGACCTGGGAGTGTGGATGGACAGTGTAGAGGAGCTTTACTGTGTCTCTAACCCGTGCTGTCACTGACTGGGAATGCTGGATAATTACATGAATGAGGGTCTCAGCAACTTGAAGGGAGAGATAATGGTGTGTTATATAATGTACAGTAAGACACCCAGTAACACACTGTGTTATTTTATTTTATGGGTGTTTGTGAGATTTTCCTGCATACAAATCGACAGTATCTCTGGGATTTCCATGTGTATCTGAGATGTGTGGAACTCTGTGTGGTTTGCTAACTCCCTGCTCGGTGAGCTTCCCAACTCTTCCCTAGATTGCCTTAGTACAAAAGTGTTTGGAGTCCTGTAGCTTAATGGTTACAGCACTCGCCTTGCAAATGAGGGGACCTGGGTTTGATTCCCGGGCAAGTCTCCTTACCCCACACGCCTCTGTTTACCTAGCAGTAAGTAGGAACCCACTTCTTAGTCGATTAGCGGATCATTTTTCCGGGGTAATGAACCCTTAAAAAAATATAATAATGATTTGGTCAATCAATCCACGACTGTTTGTGGGACGCTGCTGGACGCAATTGGCTGCCGAGTTTCGCCCACAAATATACAGTCAATTCACTTTACAGTTTATCCTGTGAAGCATTTTGAGACGTCTCGAAGACATGATCAGATGCTGTATCAAATGCAAGGATTATTAAACACTACCCAGTGTGAACGGCACTATATAAACAGTTGTTGTATCTGCTCTCTCCCTCTGCTCAGCTAACTGGGGCTTGCTGTGTGTTCCCATTGCTAACCTCTGTACTCTCTACCACTCTCTCCCCTCTCTCTCTTGCTTTGTTTGTTTCCCAGGTGTCTGACACATCAACAACAACAACAACAAGATTCCATTTATAGAGCGCCTTTCACATCGGGAGGACGTCCCAAGGCGCTGTACAGTTGGGCCAGGACCCGAGCATTGGGGAAATGGTGAGGGGAGGGAAGGGAGGGAGCGAGGAGGGGGGAAATGATCAGGGTGAGGGGAGGGAGTGAGGAGGGGGGAATGGTCAGGGTGAGGGGAGGGAAGGGAGGGAGCGAGGAGGGGGTAGAGAGTCGAGAGGGGAGCTGAAGGCACGGTCAAAGAGAAAAGTCTTGAGACCGGCCTTGAAGGAGGAAAGGGAGGAGGCGGCGAAGGCACTGGGGGATAGAGTTCCAGAGCCTCGGGGCTGAGAGGCTGAAGGCCCGGCCACCGATGGTAGGGCGGTTGGGGCGGGGGATGTGGAGCAGACCGGAGCCAGAGGAACGGAGGGTACGGGCAGGTAGGTAGGGGAATCGTAGGTCGGAGAGGTAGGAGGGAGCGAGGCCGTGAATGGCCTTGTAGGTGAGGATGAGGATCTTGAATTTGATCCTCTGGGGGATGGGGAGCCAGTGGAGGCGAGCGAGGTGGGAGTGATGTGGTCCCGAAGCCTGGTGCGGGACAGTACACGAGCTGCAGAGTTCTGAATGACCTGCAGTGTGGAGGGAGGGCCGGGAAGGCCGACGAGGAGAGAGTTCCCATAGTCCAGCCTTGAGGTGATAAAGGCGTGGACCAGAGTTTCAGCCGCGTGAGGGGTGAGGTAGTGCCGTAATCTGACGATATTCCGGAGGTGATGGGGTAACTATAGCTATGCTTAGAGTTCACTTATGTAAACCACCTACACATGGAGAATCCCTGTATGTGGAATAGAATGTGCATTCTCTCCCAGGAGGGATACACCCTGATTACATTATAGACATTGTTAGGCAGGTTGGCAAGAGCCAAGGCTTGGAGACCCCAGAGAGTACTTTAGGTACTTCTTCTCTCACAAAAGCAGCACAGACACCATGGGCTAAATGGCCTTCTTTTGTATTGTAAATTTCTATGGTTCTATGCTGTGCAAAAATCGGTATGTTTGCCTACAACATACACAATAGCTGCACTTTACAGTATACCTATCCTTGATATGTGTGATGGCACCAGCTAGAAATAACCCCAACAATAATAATCGTAGCCCCAGAAATAGCCCCAACCCCAGCCCGGAGATAGCCCCAACCCCAGCCCGGAGAGAGCCCCCGGAGATAGCCCCCGGAGATAGCCCCCGGAACCACAACAGTAACTTTCTTGGCTTCTGTAGCTGAGGATGTAACGAGACTGAAGCTACCTGCCAGCCACTGATCCCTGAAGCTGGACGTGTCAAGGTAACCACCTGAAGCTGGACCCAGAGGGAAGGAGCTGATAGCAGAGGGCTGTTTAAGCAGTTTTAGAATCTTCCTCAGAAAAAAGCTAAACCTGCAGAAAAGGCAATTTATGACGAAGCACAGCACAAATCCAGGAATGTTATTGAAGAAATGAAGCGGGATCAATGAGTTACATCACTCCACAAAAGGGCACAACTACACAAGAATCATCCCAAATATTTCATCCACTGGCTGGTCTGTTGACGGTCATGGTTGGAACGGCCCCACTGAGCCTGTCCCGGTGTGGACAAGTCCATAGGATGCTGGATCTATTCAAATGTTCAAGACTGAAATGAATAGATGTTTGTTAGGTCAGGGTATCAAGGGATATGGGCAAAGGCAGGTAAGATCAGCCAGGATCTTATAGAATGGCGGAACAGGCTCGAGGGGTGAATGGCCTCCTCCTGTTCCTATGTTGCTGTTGTTCTACAGGTATCCTTGGGGTCTGGAGAGCGCATTATGCAGAGTTGGCATCTGATGCAACAGGCCATAAGAGAGATCTAGCTGCATGGAGGGTGGTGGGAGGCGCAGAACAGATTAAAGGCTTTAATAACTCAATCTGTTGGGAGAAGGTGGACTCTGCACTGTGGCACCTTGCGACTGGCAAGGCAGCAGGTACAGACGGCATAGCTCAGTCCCTGAAAGGTGCTCAGGGAGTGGGGGGAGATGAGAGGCGGAGAATGGGGAGGATCTGACAGGTCCAAGTCAGGAACCTCCAACTCTTCTTGGAGCTGCCCTCACAACCCTGGTCAACAGGACTCTCTCTGAGGCACGCACTCCATCATTGTTCCAGGTTGCTATTGTGATTTCTATCCACAAAGTTGGGTGACCCTAGTGAGACCGAGAACTACAGAGGGATCTCGTTGATTTCAGTGGCTTGTAATGTGGTTCTGCAGGTAGACACTGAATCTGACTACTGTCAATTATTACCCCCGGAAAGTGATCCCCAGTTGACTAACAAGCGGGTTCCTAGTTACAGCTAGGTAAACAGAGGCGTGTGGAGTAAGGAAACTTGCCTTAGGTTTCATCCTGCCCGGGAATCAAACCCAGGTCCTCTCGCTTGCAAGGAGAGTGCTCTAACCACTACTCTACAGGATTCTACTCCATTTCCACATGTGGAAATTAACTTGTGTTCGCCGATGAGATTGCCAAGCAGCAGCATATAGATATTAAAGAAGATAGAGCCCGGTCGTACCCCACACATAATGTCGTGAGGGCGAGGTGGAGGAGAAGCTGTCAGGTGCTGGGATAGATAAGAGTGAAACCAGAAAAGGACAGAACAGTGAAGGTGGAGCTGTGAGAAAAGATGGTGGAGAAGGATGGAATGGTTGACATTGTCGAAGGCAGCGGAGAGGTCGAGAACGATGAGGAGGCAGAGCTGATCGCAGCTGGAGAGAATATCATTCACGAATTTGAATAGGGATGTCTCGGTACGGTGAGCAGCATGGAAGCCAGACTGGAGGGGTTTGTGCAGGGAATGTTGGGAAAGGAAAGAGCGAAGTTGGGATCCAATGACTCTGTTCCCTTGGAGAGGAAAGGCAGGTTGGAGATGGGACGGCAGTTAGGGAACAAGGATGAGTTGAGGGAAGGTTTTTTGGAAGGGATATGATGACAGCTGTTTGGAAAGGGATAAGGACGGTGCCAGTGGACAGAGGATTTATGATGTCCATTAACAGAGGGGAACAACAACAACTTGCACTTATATAGTGCCCTTGACGCAGGGTGGCGTCCCAGACTCCACCCCAACCACCAGACTCCACCTCCCCACCATCAGACTCCACCCCAACCACAAGACTCCTCCTTCCCCACCATCAGACTCCACCCCAACCACCAGACTCCACCTCCCCCAACATCAGACTCCACCCCAACCACCAGACTCCACCTCCCCCAACATCAGACTCCACCCCAACCACCAGACTCCACCTCCTCACCATCAGAGTCCACCCCAGCCACAAGACTCCACTGCCACCACCAGACTCCGCCTCCCCCAACATCAGACTTCACCCCAACCACCAGACTCTGCCTCCTCAAGCCTCTCACCCCACCCCCCCACCCCCCAGCCTCCCTGCTGACTCACGGTGGTGAAATTCTCTGCCCCGCACTCCTGGCTCCGGTAGCGACAGTCCAGCAGCATGGTCTCCACTTGGTGGCCGGCCCGGTCAAAGAAGCCCTTCATATCAAACGTCTGGGTGGGGAAGAATTTGGAAAAGTCCGAGTTCTGACCTATGGTCTCCAGGAACTTGGAGTAATCGGGGGGTTTAACCCCCAGGAGAGCTCCCATCCAGTACAAGTCGTTCTTAGTCACCTGCGTCTTGCGGAAACGGTTGTAGTTGCAGAAGCTGATGGCTGGGAAGGTCATGAGGGGGCTATCCATCTCATCCAGGGTGGTGACATGATGGTACTCGGTGTAAAAGGTGATGCGGTCGTACACCTGGTACAGGAAGATGCTCAGAGACATGAGGAAGGCACAAGCCCAGAGCATGCGACGCACAGTCACCCCACCGGGGAGGAAGATGTGACTGATGCCGTGCAGTGTGCAGCTCTCCGCAAACACAGTGATGTCCGAGGGACGACTATCCTCCTCCTTCTCACTCACTGACGAGTCATCCATTCTCATGGTCTTCTCCATGAAGAGCGCTCCTCACTGAGCTGGTCTCCGCTTCACTGCTCGACCTAAAGCACAATGAGCCTGCCCCCACCTCCCCGCAGCCCCTCCCTGGGGCTCAGAGCCAAACCCATTGGAAGCTGGAGCGCGGACTGAGTGCTCTCAGGTTACAGGGGCCACTAGCTGGTTGGCGGAGCTGACAGGGCAGCAATAGAGACACACATAGACTGCGAGTCTGTCAGCGGAGAAGACAGAGAGTGAGGCGTCCTGTGGAACACCAGCTGCTAAAAGCGTCTTTAATAATTAAAGATCTGGGATTCGAGGCATAGACAATGAGGTAACAGATACGCTCCCTCCCAGGACTCCTGGACTCACACCATCAACTCAGCAACTGGTTACTACTCCAGTTATTCCAGCACAGGCAGCACTCTCTGAGGGAGAGGGGACTGAGAGACAGCAGTCAATAGGCAGAAATAAAACTCAAATCATCTCAAACAGTTCTCGTCTCTCTTAAGTCGTCTCATTCTTTTTGCGTGAGAGTAAGGTCCCAGGGTGAGCGGTGTCTCCCCAGAGCTCATCCGCCTCTGAGCACTGTCTAACAGCAGGCGAGACAACGGGATTATAAATACAAGTAGCTGCCTAGAGGCTCACTGTGTTCTCAGTTCCCTCTCTTTATAGGCTCGGTGCGGGTCAGCCCGGCTCAGTGTGTGTCAGCCCGGCTCCGTGCGCGCCAGCCCGGCTCCGTGCGCGCCAGCCCGGCTCCGTGCGCGCCAGCCTGCGATACTGTGATAAGGTGCAGCAATTAATATATTAATAAATATTATTATTATACTCCACTGGCTCCCATCCTCAAGTTTAAGATTCTTGTTGAGAAGATAAGAACATAAGACTTCGCTGGGCGAGAGAAAACCAAGTTCGCCTTCCGCCATCCAAGCACCCACTCGATATGTCATGTGCCAAACTATATACTGCAATACCAGGTATTGTTTTCTGGTAGAACTGTATCTAATTCTTTCTTGAAACAAACAACGCTTTGTTCTCACCATTGAATCCCTCCACAGCCTTCTCCCACCCTACCTCTCCCACCTCTTCCAACTCTGAATGCTGCTGTCTAAATGTAAATTAGTATTGTGTTGTGTATTATATTATTTTAGTATGACGCATCATATTATTATATTTTATTTACATTCCCCCCCCCATTTGCGATAGCTTTAGTGACCTTGAATCGGTCTCCTGCTCGAATCGCTCACCCGTCATATTTACTTCAAGTTTATGATAAAAATAATAATCATCCTTAAATTTAGTAAAGTGCTTTAAAAGATAGACTGTGAAGTGTAGTGACTGTGTATTTGTGGGTGAACATAGCAGCCAATTTGCACACAGCGATGTACCACAAACACCCGTGAAGTGAATAACCAATTTTATCTGGGGATTGTTGGTAAGAACACTGGGAGAGAGAAAGTCCCTTCTCTATTCCAACAGAGCTGTGGGATCTTTAATGTCACCTAAACAGGCACAGATGGGTCCTCAGTTTAACATCTCATCCAAATGGCAGTATCTCCCTCCCCAACACTGCCCTGGAGTGTCAGCCTGGACTGAGATTACATCCCGATATGGGGCTCGAACCCACAACAACCTTCTAACACAGAGGCAAGAGTTTTACTGAGTAGGCAAGGCTGCAAGAGCTCCAGTGCAACAGTCTCCCTTCCTCCAAGCTACCCTCGCTCTCTCTCGCTGCACCCCCCCAGCGCTGTGTGTAACCTCCCTCCCCCCACCCATTCACCCTCTGATGTAACCTCACTCATGGAAAGTGAGATGAGCTGCAATAAATGTGCTGACTTAGCCCTGACGTATCTCGGCACGGAGACAGAGTTACTGATGGCACCGATCAATAATGCTTTCCCGCGGCCCCAGCTAATGTTCCAGTAACAGTACCTGTGGTTTTCAGCCCAGATATAGAATATTCCAAGTGTGACCTGACCAGAGCTGGACACAGGCTTCCACCCATTAAAACCGTCACCAACCAACCTGTCCGCTCCCTCCGGCCTGCTCCCCGTCCCCTGCCCGGCCCTCCCCACCATCGGTGGTCGGGCCTTCAGCCTCTCTGCCCCCACCCTCGGGAACTCCATCCCACATTCCCTTCGCCTCGCCCCCTCCCTTGCCTCCTTCAAGGCACGTCTCAAGATTTTCCTTTTTGACTGTTCCTTTGGTCATCTGCCCTCCTCCACACTGAGCTCAGCATTGGCTGAAATAATAATAATAATCCTTGCATTTGATTTAGCGCCTTATCACATCTTTGAGATGTCTCAAAGCCCTTCACAAAATATACTGTAAAGTGAATTGTCTGTATATTTTGTGAGCAAAACGCAGGAGCCAATTGCACACAGCAGAGTCCCACACACTCATGAATTGAGTGACTAAATTATTATTATTTTTTAATTTACTTTTGTTTTGAAGGGATTATTATCCCTGATCCGCCAATCGACTAACAACCGGGTTCCTACCTACAGTTAGGTAAACAGAGGCGTGTGGAGTAAGGAAATTTGCTCAACATTTTGCCCTGCCCAGGGATCGAACCCGGGTCCTCTCGCTTGCCAGGCGATTGCTCTCGCAAGCCGCATAATCCCTCTGCTGTTTCCTCCTCTCCCCGAAGCAGCAAAGTAAACCCCCACCCCACCCCACCCCACCCACCTCACCCCCGGCCACTTCACGGACACTCAATAAGAAATTAATTTCAGCGTTCACATATTTTTGTGTCGCGCTTTCGCATCGGTTACTGCAATGGGCTGATTGGTGGCAGATGAAGTTTAACGAAGGGAAATGCGAGGTAATGCATTTTGGTAGAAGAAATAAGGGAAAGGATTATACCTTGAATGGCAATGTCTTGTAAGAAGCAACAAAATCTGGGAGCTCAGGTCCATAAGTCCTTGAAAGTGGCAGCACAATTGGAAAGGATTGTGAAAATCACCAATGGCTTTCGGGGATGTACATAGGGACAGCAGGAGGCCATTCAGGTTTATCGGTTTCTAAGATGGTGGTTAATCCACAAATGAATTCCCCCTCCCCGCCCCCTCTCCATATCCCGTAATCCTGTCTATCCGTCAATTATCTATTTGACTTTTAAATTTTTGAACTGACTCAGCCTCCCCGCCCTCTGGGGGAGTGAACTCCACACTCCTACCACCCGCTGCAGGGAAAATGTTTCCATAATGTGGACTGCGATAAGCTGTTTTTTCTTGTACTGAATAACAGAACCAGAGGACACGGCCTGCGATTGAAGGGAGGTAAATTCAGAACAATTCTGTGGAGACACTGCTTCAGTGAGCGAATAGCAAACTTATAGAACAGGCTCCCTAGGGACACAGTTGAAACTGGAAGTGTTGTTTGTTTCAAGAACTAATTAGCTTTCTGCAAGAAATAATATCTCGGGATACAGTATATATACAGTTTGGGACACAAGATGTCAAGCGACTGCCAGGATGGTAGAAGGCAAACTAGATGGACCTCGGTCTTCTTTCACCAGCAAATTCTTATGTTCTTATGTTCATTTTTCACTTCTAAACAGATTACCATCAAGTTTAAGACTATGGCCTCTTGTGCTCGATTCTCTGGCCAGAGGAAACAGTTCACTATTCAGCCTGCCAAATCCCTTAATAATATTTTTTTTACAGCTCAACCAGATCAGCCCTCAAACTCCTGAACTCGAGAGAGAATACAATCCAAGGTTTCCATCCTTTCATCATAATTTAGGCCCTTGTCAACCAGGAATCATTCCAGTAACTCCACACTGCACACTCTCTCAGGCCAATATATCCTTCCTAAAGCTTTGTGCCCAAACTTCACACAATACTCCACGTGGGGTCTGACCAGCGTGTGTACAGCTGTGACAACACTCCCTTGCATTCGCCTTTTTGATTACCTTCTGCACCTGTGCGATGTGTCTTAAAGATTGATGAACCTGAACAGCTAGATCCCTTTTGCTCATTAACCTGCCAAGTGTTTCTCTGTCAAGAATGTAGTCCAACTCAATATTCTTAGGTCCAAAATGAACCACCTCACATTTTGTCACATTGGACTCAATTTGCTATCATTCCACCCATTCTCTTAATCTCCCTTTAGACCCTCTGCAAATTTCCCCTGCCTCCTCCCAATTTACCCCACCTCCCAACTTCATATCATCTGCAAACTTGGATAGAATTCCTTCTGCACCTTCATCCAGATTGTTAATGCAGTGAAAAGCTGAGGCCCAAAACAGATCCCTGAGGAATATCACCAGGTATTGCTTGTCAGTCAGAAATTTCCAACTTGTATTTATACAGCGCCCATCACACAGGTCAGCGTCCCAAAACCCTTAAATTATCCCCTTTATCCCAATTCTGTTTCCTGCCTCCAACCCATTTTCCATCCATGCCAAGCAGATTGCCTCCAATCCTATGTGCTTTCATTTTAGCCACAACCTCTTATGTGGAACTTTATCAAATACCTTCTAAAATCCATGTAAACAACATCCACTGAACTCTCCCTCCCCCCTCCCATCCATCTACTAAGTGTGTTAAGCAAATCCACGCTTACTTTCCTTAATCAGCTTATACTTGTCCAAGTGGACATTAACTTTACAACAACACAAAATTACATTTGTAAAGTCTTTATCTCCTTGTTCTCTGTCTCCCCTTCCCCACCTTCCAAGGGCTGAACGTCCTTCCAAATGAGGTGCCCAAAACTGAACGCAGCAGCAACAACAATGTGCATTTATATAGCGCTCTTCACACAGGATAGCATCCCAGAGAACTTTAGCTGCAGCCTAGTCAATGGTGTGACTTTGTTGCTCTCTGTAGTTCACCCGATCCTCTTTCCTTTGCTGAACAGAAGGGCACAGAATACAAAGGTAAAGCAATAATGCTAACTTAGTAGATCATTGTTTAGGCCACAGCAAGAGACTGCATTCAGTTCTGGAGCATCTCATTTCAGGGAGTAGAGGGCAGGAGAGAGTCCCAAGGATATCAAATTATGGTGCAAACATAAGTGACACACGATAGGACAAAACCGTGCAAACAGTAATACAATATAGTGCAAACAGTGGTGCTATAATACCAACAGTGACA